AAATGTTTAATACATATCTTTCAAGAGAGAAATATGGGGGCTGCCATAGCTTTTCTCCTTCTGAAAATTCTAGTTGCCTGGTTATCATGCCGATCCCACTGACTTTACTATTTTTTTTAAGGTTACTGATGTATGCAGATAAGAAAAGTCATTATTTCTTATCTGTATTTTTTTTATATGGGGAAATGTCACATATGAAAGTCATGGGATCAGCACCACAGGCAAGTAACTAGCATATACAGAATCAAAGATCAGCAATGGCAGCCTGCCTGTTTCTTACATGACAGGTCACCATTTTGGTAGGTAATCTGTTGGTGAGCACTCAGAACCATGTAATCATTCTTGTGTGCACTTGCCCACTGCACAGTGAACAGAACCCTATACTAGCGGATGATAATATTATTATCATTATTATTGGTATTTATGTTTAGTGACAATTTACACACTGCACATTCACATCAGTCCCTGCCCTCAAGGGGCTTACAATCTCAGGTCCCTATTGCACATGCATATATACAGGGCTGATTTAGACAGGAGCCACTTAACCTACCAGTTTGGAGTACCTGGAGAAAACTCACAAATGTACAGGGAGAACATGCAAACTCCTTGCATTAAATGTCTTGACCGGAATTGGAACCAAGCACCCTCAGTGGTGCAAGGCAGAAGTGCTAAGAACTACCCCACTGTGTCGCAAAGTCCAGTACCTAACATTACCCAATGTTAGGTACTAGAGAACACAAACTATTTCCTCCCGTGACCCAGAGCTCAGTATACCACGAGCTACAGCTCACGGTATACTGAGACGCCGCAGCCGGGACGGATCCCGCCATTACTGTCTGGATCCGCCTATCTAGAGGCAGAGCCAACCGTACCTGCCCCCTCCCGCGTCCGTTCCACCAGCCAGCGCTGGAGGAGCGGGGGAATCCCTGCAGGGAGCCGTGAGTGACAGTCACGGCTCCCTGCAGGGATAGATCGAGAAGTGAGCGAGCGATGGTATGTGTTCGCTCACTTCCCGATCTAGTTTCATTTGTCACAGGTCGGCATTTCATTACAGTTTCATTGTCACAGGTCGGCTCAGATTATGAGGCTGAGTGAAAATCACTCGACTCATAATTCTCAATTTAAGGTTTCTAATATATATTATTTTGGTTCATTTTTGCAAGCTTTTTTTTTTTTTTTTTTTTTTTAATAACCTTGATGTTTTTTGTATATTGACTCTTGCTTATAACCCTTGGTAAATATGTTATGCCTATTGTTGTTTTTTTGCTCTGTATTGTATTATTTAGAAAGCGATTTGAACAGCAGCAGAAAATGTTAGAGGAAGAGAGAAAAAGAAGACAATTTCAAGAACAAAAGCAAAAGTTACGATTGTTAAGCAGTGTAAAACCCAAAGTAAGTCAAAACTTAACAGACGTTCCTTGGTGGTTTAGGCTTTTTTTTTTCTTCATAGCTCATTCTTTGGTGTTTCACACAAAGCATTTTGTAAAACCATTTCACACACTGATTTCTGCTGAACATTTATTTTGACTAACAATTGGAATTATGTGCAGAAAAGGAAATAAATATGTGGAAACTTTGAGTTTTTTGGTTTCTGAATGGCCATGATTTAATAATTCCGTGTATAAGTAAATCTATTATATAGACATGAAATTGTACATTTTTAGACGCCCTGTATATTGTGTAAGCACTGTTATGGATTGTTACAGGGAAGATTTTGACGACCTGAGTTCTTTTATTTTTTCATTGTACAAGGGATCAAAGTGAGAACAAGCTACACAGAGGAGTCGTACAGCATGCCACTTCTTGTATACAATTTTGTACACCGCTGAAAATAGGAGTGTATGCTTGAATGTCATAGGCACAGCAAGTCTTCTTCTTTTGAGAGACAAAACATATTCCTGACAAGTAGATACAGTGAACCTTCAGTATAATGGAAATATTCTGTGCCCTAAGCTAACAAAGTTTAAAATTTACTTTCTGAATTTCAGTTAGCTCTGGTGAAAATGTTCATTAACCCTTGCAGTAGGGCTACCCCCGCACTGCAAGGGTTAACTGCTTGTTTGTTTCTAGGTGCTAACAAAACAGTTATACTCTCCTGATAATTCCAGTCGGCTTATTCTTAGACCGTGTCCCTAGAGCCTCTCTCCCCCTACTCTGCAGTGATCTAAGGATGCTTGTGTCATTACACTTTATACAAGTGAATAGTGAGAATGCTGAGGAAAAGTCCATGTGTGCAGAAGAGGAGCAAACAAAAGGTTTTAGTGACTGGAGAATAAGGGAGATGGCTTGGCCGCAGTTCGTAACTTATTTTTTAGCACCAAAAATTTCAGTCGTGGGCCACTCAACAAATGTTTTGTCTCCCATGGGGGCCAATTGCCAAATTGTATACTTCAAAATAAAATGTAATGATATGATTACATACAGTTAGAAAACACTCTCCCTGGATGCACAATTGATGCGTCCAGGAAGAGTGATTGATTCCTAACCAAATGTAATCATATCACTTTTACATGCAGCTGCTGTCACCTGATCATTAACTTCAATGGGTGACAGCGGCGCTTGTAAATGCCAGATTAGGGATTCCTGCTGCAGGTAAACGCAAGTTTCTGATGCAGGAATCCCTAATTGCACCTAAAGATACAAGTGTGAATGGAGCCTAATACACTCCTCCCCCCATAAACTACCCCTGTAAAAAATAATACCCAATCCCCCCCACCATCTCAACCCCTCCCCCCTTAGACATACCAAAAAAAAAAATACACCTGCACATGTAAAATAATACACTCCCACTTTGCCTCCTTCTCTGGCCTTGCAGTCAACGACACCAAGTCTACCACCTTAAACATCTCTCTGCCCCCTCTATGGCCACATCCTTACAACAACAAAGTTTCCCCTACGCGTGGCAACATGACCACCTCTCTTACCTGGGAATTAAGCTGACCCACTTGTACGCCACTCTTTACAAGCAAACTACCCTGCAATAATATCCAAACTCTCCACTATGCTTAAAACCTGGGCCAATTATCGCTTGTCCTGGCTAGGCAGGATAGCTGCAGTAAAGATTACCCTGTTGCCCAAGCTTCTCTATATGTTCCGGGTCCTACCAGTGGCTATCCCCGCCTCAGTCTTTAAAACACTGCAGTCCTGCGTTTTTTTGTTTCATTTGGGATGGGAAGCGCCCTAGATGCACCCTCTACTTGCCAAAATCCCAGGGAGGACTAGCAGTCCCACACCTACACAAATACTATCTAGCAGCCCAGATTGGTCAGCTTACCAAATACCACGTGGAGGTGAAACCTCCAATTTGTGTGCGTTTGGAGGACTCCCTCGTCAAACCTACCTTTGTCTCCAACTTGCTCTGGTTACACCCAAAACACAGGCCCTCTATCTCCAACCCGATTACCTCACATTCCCTCCGCCTATGGGATTCAGTCAAATTGCTAGGTGGCTTCATATCTCCGCACTTACCTCTTCTGTCTTTCCTACACAACCCGACATTCCCCCCGGCGTTTGAACACCCAATACTTTTCTCTGCATGGCAGGAGAAGAACCTTGTATTCTTCTGGAACTTCTAAACCGAAATGGGGGTGCGAGACTTCCCACTTCTGCGGGACCAACATCAGCTCCCTAGTAGGGAAGTTTTTCATTACCTCCAGATTAGAGATCTTAACACCAAATACGCTCCTAAACGGGATAGTCCTTCAGCCTTCTCGCCTTTTGAGAAATTATGCAAAGATAACCCCCATATCCCAGGCCTCATCTCTCTTCTCTATCAAGCCCTAATCACCCCCTCTGATTCTCCCCGCCCCTCTCTTATGTCTCCCGGTGGGAACGTTATCTTGGACACCCCTTGGGTGATGGCCTATGGCGTCATTCCTGGATGCAAACCAGGTCCAGTTCACGGAGTGCAAGTATGTTGGAAATCAATTGTAAAGTCCTCCTACGCTGGTACCTCATGCCAACCATAGTGGCTACCTTTAACCCGAATTGCTCTCCAAACTGTTTCAGAGGATGTTCAAATCCCGGAACTTTCTTCCATATATGGTGGCAGTGTCCGGTGGTATCGGAATTCTGGGAAACATTTTCTAACCTCCTCAGCTCCACTCTTTCTGAGCAGTTGACCAAGGACCCCCATTTTGCCCTCCTGAACTGTAGGCCAGCGGGTCTCTCTAAGAACATGTTCAAGCTTGCTACTCACGTACTGACTTCCGCTAAGAGGGAGATGGAGAAAAGCTGCCTTACAAAGTATATTAATGTGACTAATGTCATAAACCGTTGTCATTGGATTATGTCCCATGAAAAACGCTTGGCACAATTGGAAAATAGCATGAAATAATTTGAATCCACGTGGTCCCCATGGATCCAGGTATATTTTTCCCCATCTACACCTCACCACCTGTTCTCTATCTGACCCTGTTTCCGCTCTTCCACTTTCAGGACCATTCCCCTAACCCGGTGCACGATCCGCCTCTTCTTTCCCCCCTACTCTAACCCTGTATCTTTTTTCACTGGTATTCTCTACTTACCTCCCCCATCTTGTTGTTTTGTCTTTGTGTCGTCACCTGTACTCTCATGATGTTTCTTCCATATTTACCAGTTTCTACCATCGCATTACTTGGTTCAATCGCTCTCCATGATTTGTTACCAACTAAACTTACCCAATATGATAGCATTATGGTACCACATCCTCTACGGTTCACCACCTTAGTTATCGGTCCCATGGAATGTTTTGCTTTCTCATGCGATGCTATTATACCCTATACTAATACCTTTTTTCTTTTTACTGTATTTGTTTTCCTGGGCTGTATTGTCAGGGACGATCGTCCTGTGTTGTTGCCGTGTCATTGTATACTTGTAATTTCGATAACCAATAAATATATTTGTGAAATAAATAATACACTCCCCCCCAGCCGGACAAACATATAAAAATGCTACCCCTGCAGATATGAAATAATACCCTTCCCCCTCCCCCCACATACACATAAAAAAAATATACCCCACCCCCCCCCCACAAAAAAAATCATTTTTTGGGGCAAGCTACATATGAACCATTTGCTGCATGATAGTAAAGGCACCTTTTTAGTAAGTGTTATGCTTTGCTGAAATCTGGGTAAAAAATATTGACTATATACAAGAGCCATGTGTATGCTGAATTGAATCTTGATGTCCTTTTGTGTATTTCTCCCAGATCAGTGTAGTTATCCAGCTCTGTGCAGCAATTTTATGTAATAAAGACCAATTTACTGCTCCTCTCTCTCCTTGTGTAGAGTAACTGGTCTTGTATCCGCTCCCCCTCCCCCTGCTAGTTTTCTGCAGGTAGCCTGTAGTGGGTAGTCCTGCTGGGTTCCTCCCACACCTCTGCCGGCTGCACAGGCTATGTACAGCACAGTGATGATTATCACCTCTACTTCTACAAAGTAATACGTGGTTTTTCAAAGGCATTTAGTGCACACAAAGTGGAATTATATAATTTGTGGCACTTGAATTAACATATTTTTTCCAGGTCACTGTATCTAACTACTGAAGTCCGGTTCTAACCCTCTCCTACACTAACCAAAAGCCACAACAAAACTGGTCAGAGTTTTACTTTAGCAATGAATCCTTTTATAAGCCCAGTCCTAACTGATTCTTTTTATGCTGTGAAACATATGTGTTGAAATAATCTAAAGGAGGTTGTACATTGTCACATTTTTAAAGAGAAACTTTACCCATATCTTCAAAATAACAACAAAGGCACCTTGTAGAAATGTTTCGTAATGACAATCTACAAACACATACTTATAGATAATTACAGGCCTTTTTATTCTTTGCATACCTTGTTTCTCTTTTTCTTTTTTCCCAGTCTTCTGACAATGTCCATTTTTGCTAAGGGCAGATTATTAGATCTCCCTATACTTCCTGGAATTTTGGCACATGTGACTAGGACATGTGACCATGCACATCCTCTCAGGAGAGGAAAATGTCTTTCTGTGAGATCTCATGAGATCACAGATGAGATTTCCCAGCAATGCTCTGCAGATATAACCTTCCCAGGGTACAATGCTTGGGAACATTACATCACCAATGCCCAAGAAGACCAGGAAGTAGAAAAAACGGTAAGTATAAGAAAAATGTGTTTGTTTTAACGCATGTAATATGATTTCATATCAGCATGCAGAGCTGTATTCTGATGTGATTTTTAGTGAAAATGGGTAAAGGTTTGCTTTTAACTATTATATTTTTTTTTGTTTAGACTGCTGAAAAAAATAGAGATGATGCACTGGAAGCCATTAAAGGAAACTTGGACGGTTTTTCCAGAGATGCTAAAATGCATCCAACTCCTATAATGCATGCCAGGAAACCAGGTAATACTGTAGAGAAATCCGCAGGAAATTTATTCAAAACTGGAAAAAACACACGCATTATAGAGGAAACCGGCATCCAACACGACCGAACGTGTCGGAATTTGAGAGTTCTAGTCTCTGGTGTAGCTCTTCAAGGGAGCAAAAGTTGGAGTAACTGCGATGGAACTGGCTCGGGTATCTATGTATTTTTACAGACTAAAGGCATACACTGTGCAAATTTTGACCAGTCCTTGAGGAAGCGGACTAAATCTGCACAGTGGGTGCTGCTGTCGGCACCCTTTCAGCCGGCATCCCTTTATCAGCTGAAAATCGGAAATTCTTCGTACGAACATAGCTGGCAGCCTTTGTGCCGCTATTCTGACCGGGGCGGGCAGCTGCAGTCAGAATACAAAAGGAACAGCTGGGATTCCTCGATCAACGCCCTCATAGCAGTGATGGAGGAATCTGCTCTATTTTTTTATTTTCGTCTAACCCGCGTGTTGAATGAGAAAAATAGAGCAGTGTATAGCCAGCTTAAGTGAGATATCCTCTCGTACTTACTATCCTGTTCACCAGACAGGAATTAAGGGAAAATCTACAATAGCACAAAACCTTCTTCTTTTTTTTTGTAGAGTAGTCAAAGCTAGCTTTATATTGCTGTCATTGCTGGACACATTTTTCAGTAGAGTAGGCAAAGGCCAGAACCCCCATCAGCTTTATATTGTTGGACAGACCAAAACCATAACAGAGGATGTAATCCTTCACCACTCTGTCCAAAATGTGAAAATGAAAGAAAAAAAAGTTTTGACTGGACATACAGGTAAAAATGGTATGTACACCTTAATGAAAACCTGATTTAACTGTTCTTATACTCTGCCTTTCCGTCTGTTAAATATACAGTTGGAAACTTTTTGTTTTATCTGTTTGGTAAGTTAACAAAAAACCTGTTTATCTGGTCAGAAATTCAGAGCTGTCCTTTTGTCTTCACCTCCATGTCCTGTGTTTTCTCAAACCTGATTGGACTACAGAATGATTAGACTTTATTTTGTGAAGATGGGAGAGTCGGTGGGTCTCAGTAGTCTGGCAAGAGAAAACTGGATAGGGTTGACATCACTGAGGGCCGGTTCCCACCATGTTGTTCAACCGCAAAGCACGGTATTGCGAATGGGTAGGTGTGTTTGGAGGTGCCATTGAAATGAATGGCAACACAACACACGTTCCACACTGTTAACGAATGGTAGATGTGTTGTGCAGTACTGTTGCTGAATCACACGCACCCAGTGGGAGTAGGCCCTCAGTCCACAAAAAAAACATGCCAGTCCATAGCAAGACTTAGGAACTGAGTGTATTTCTGGCAGATCTACAGGTATTTTTCGGTACTTGCAGGGGACTAAAGGGATAAAACATGGGAAAATGTGCATGTATTGCATGTGGTGTTTTTGTTTTTTGTTTTATTTGCTATTTTGTCTGCCATATGCTGTAAGTTGTTCATACGCAAGCAAGTTATCCAAGATTGATTAGGAGTATTTAGTTTGACAATCGGCCACTACAAGCACAACAAATGATTGCCTTTTCTAATTTAAGACCAGCTTGGATATAAATTGAGAAGGAGGTCTTGCTTATGAAAGTGTTTTTTGTAATGTCAAATCTTTGAAAGGTTATGTGGCCAGTTGTAACTGTGTTCAGCCAGCCTTAACCCTTTCGCTGCCAAGCCCTCCGGAACATTTTTCAAATCAGCTGGCCAAGCCATTTTTGAATTTTCTGCAATTTTTTCCTATTGGTTTGATTTTCAACTGCTGCGTTGCTAGCGTTTGTAAAAGACCCCCCAAACCATATATTTTCTGAAAGCGCAGGCCCGGTAGAATAAAAAGATGGTGATACTAAATTTGTAGGCCCTGCGATAATTGCGCAAATGTTTCTCAAATTAATATTAAACCGATAAAAATACACAATTCAATTGTTAAAACACACCAAAACCTTTTCCTAAACTTTAAGGGGCAGAGGATCCACACCTCTCCATTTTAGGGCTTGTTCACATCAAATGCAGACCAGATCTGCATGAGTTTCTGCACACACAGTGCAGTGTATTATGCTGCGTTTTTTGCCGCGTTTTTGATGCGTTCCGGGCAATTTTGGGGTTTGAAATTTTTTTTCATTTCGTTTAAAATGGGCTTTTAGTGCGTTCCAGGGCGTTTGCATGCCTTCCAGAGCAGTTAAAATTGAGCTTGCTGCAGTTTTTTTACATGCTCTGGAACTGAACGTTGCGATGTAAACTAGAGCCCAAAATACCATTGGAATACATTGGACGCAGTTTTGATCCGGTCTGTAACTGCTCTGCTCCTGGAACGCGCTTGGTGTGAACAAGCCCTTGTTCTTGGTACTGCTTGTCACAACCCAGGCATGCTAGAAGTGGGAAGGCTATGCCAGGCTGTTAACTGTTTTTTTAGCTTGCAAGTGTCCAAATCCTCCTGTAGACGATTGTATCGCCCAAATGTCTCTAAATCCTGTGACGCTCAATGAAGTTCAAAGAAAAGGATTATATGGTGCATACAAAAATCCAATTTAAAGAAAAAAAAATGTTGCTTCCATTGATATTGTCTGTTCCAAGACCTGTCACTATCACTTTTTTTTTTTTTTATTAATCTTGGTATGCATGTTGTAGAGAATGATATAAAAAGAGGTATGTGAAATACAAAAGGAATTATACTATCCTTCTATGGATTAAACGGATTTAGTTATCGCAATACAATGTTTCACAATGGGGGGGTGGCTTTAGGGTTCAAAGGAACTAAACAGACCATAGTCTAGAGGTAAATGTGCTGTACTAAAATTCAGCGAAGGGAATTTATCAAAACTGGAGCAGACAAAATCTGGAGCAGCTGTGCATGGTAACCAATCCGCTTCTCTCCCTCATTTTTCATAACTTAACTGAACAAACTGAAGAGAGAATCTGATTGGTTGCCATACAAAACTGCTCCAGTTTTGATAAATTCCCCCCAGAGTGTGTAAAATATTTTCTGTTTTTTTATATACATTTACAGAAATGGGGACTCCTGTTATGTAGAATCGCTTAAAAGGGTAATACTTCTTAGTCTGCAATTTGTGAATATAGATTTTTATTTTTGATTCAATCAGATTTTATTAGAGGTTTTCAATACGAATCAAGACAAACAATCGTACAGATAACATAGCATCTATAGGTATAACAACAAATAAAGAAGGGGGGGGGGATATTTCACCAGGAGAGGTAAATCACGGGGCATAAGGAGCACCTCACTTATCCAACTCTAGATTTTTATTTTGAATGTTTTTTTTTTCTCACTGCACAGTTGGCGTTCGGATGTTCTCAAATGAAACAGCTGATTCAATGCTGCCTTCGTGGATTTACAATGAGAGTCTTGTTCCAGGTATTTCCTCTTAATTTTTGATGCAGTTGTTTTGTTTTTTGAACTGGAATATAAAACCAGTCTTAAAAATAGTGTTTTGTTTGGGTGGCGATCTTGGTTACATTGCTTCAGGTACTTATTTATCTTTTGGCTTCAGTGTAAAATGTCACTTCTGCTAAAGTGATGTTTATTATGTTTGTGGCTAATGGGTAGGCACTATCCTTGGCTTGTGTGATGGGAATACTTCAGGCTTGTCAGCATCTGGTTTGGCAGCCTGCTGACAAGTCTGAAGTACTCCCATCACAACTCAATACAACTTTCAAGCTGCGGGGATTGTAGTCCACATACATGATTTCTCTTATTTAAGCCCTGATAAAGGGGTGTGCTTGAACACCCAAAACACGTGGGCTACCTAATGCACCTGACCCTAATGGAATAAAGTTGTACCTGGACTATTTTATTTAGCGTGGTGCTTGAATTCCTACTGTGTACATCTGCTTAAGCAGTGGTTCTCAACCTGTGTAACCTCAGGGCCCACATTTGTCCTTGGTCATTAAGTCGCGACCCAAGTTGCACTGTGATGGAACGCATGGCATTGCTGTACCACGTGTTCCGGTGCGGGCAATCGAACTGTAAGCGGGAGTTGCGTTTGGGATACCATTCAAATTAATGGCAACGCACCTCCAACACCAGAATGCACAGCAGGTGCAATTGCATGGTACAGTGCATTAATCGCATGCGACTATGCAATTAACGCACTGTACTAGTGTGAGCGGGCCCTGAAAAACACGGACATACACACACAACCACAGAAACAATCTCACACGCACATACACACTCTAAAAAATGTTTTTCTTTTTTTAAGATCCACCACATCTCCCTAATTTTCGAGAACTGGAGTGGACCTTAAAGCTGGAGTCCAGTGTGGGCTGCTGTGTGGTGACAGAGCTCCATTCATATGTGCATTGCTTGTACAGCTCCCTTGCATACCCTGTAAAGGTGCCGGGATCCAGAATGTGACATCACTCTAGTCCAGGCACCTCTGCAGGACATGCGAGGGAGCGGTAAGCAATGGACGTATAGCTAGAGCTCCCTCACGGCCATACCACTAGCCCACCCCACCTCAAGCTGACACTCCACGCTGGGCAGCATATTTTGAATGCTGCTTGGTGTGAGAACTGACTGTTGCGCTAGGAGGAGGCTGAGGAGCCTCTTACCTGGAAAAGTGGAAGGCATACAGCGACCCACTGAACACGGGGCCGCGACTCCCTTTTGGGTCACGACCCACCAGTTGAGAGCCAAGGTGCTAAAGGGTCAGTGACCGTGACTATCCCCTTTTTTTTTCATTTGTGTTACTGTTCACAGTACAGCTACTAGGATGTCTAACAAATATGATCTATTCTGTCAGGGATGTTATATAAAGGTGAAGGAATTTTCTTACATTTACCACAACTGCTCTTTGCTATGTACGATTTCTGAATCTTTACTAATGTCGGGGAAGGTGGCATAAGATGAACATCTGCTCTTTTACCCGCTATCTCCTATGTAAAAGTAGAATGTGTCAGGTCTGGGAACCATTGACACTGAGAATGCAAGCTCCAGGTTTTACAGAACAGCCAGGGAGTGTCTTGAGCAGTTATTAGGCTAGGGACGCAGGTCACAGAAAGTGAAGGACACTTGGGACAGTGGACACAGGGAACAAGGGACAAGAGGACTTGCGCACATGGCATGGGTTTGGCAGAAGCGCAGAGTCTGAGTGCTAGATGTTCTCCAGAGCTCCTGATGGTGGAGATGTTACGTTGCAGGACAGCTTCCAGGTTGCAGCACTCTACCACACTTGTGCAGACAGTAACTGACAGAAATACAGCGGGAACAGAAAAAAAAACAGCACTGGGACATGTTAGTGAGGCTCAGGCCACACGCAGGGAATGTGTACTATAGTAAAGTTCTGGCTACACAGGACAATGCGTGTACACTGAGATTTAGGATCATGAAGGAGGAGGTGCATAATACAGTAGCAGAGGGACACTGGGGAAAGACTAACAGTGCTGCAGAGCAGGATAAACTCCTCAGGCTGATACTTATAGCACTGCAGCTCAGAATACACACTGCAGGCTGATGCACAGAGGAAGCAGGTCATTAGGCAACAGCAGACACACGGGACAAGGAGTTTGGAAACACTAGCGTCGTGAAGTGGTGCAAGCCATACAGACAACTCGCAGCACACTGGAGATATCCATGAAGGGTCTCAAGCAGTATCCACAGGGGAACATAGAAAACTATGGGAGCATAACAGGAACACACAGCCAAACAGGGAAATCCTCAGGTGTACACAGGAAGGCACAGGGAAACTTGGAATCACAGGATATCTCAGGAAACACAGAGGAACACAGGGGGTTCACCAGCTAGTTAAGACACGGAAATAAAGTCAGTGTGACAGATTGAGGAAGAACTTTGTATCCCTGCACGGTTTCCTGAATGTACATAGTGGCTGGACTGGATCATAGGTGGGCATAGTTTAACTTTTTTAGTCGGCTAATTTTGTTTAGTGCTCTACCACTTAGCACAGTGTATATGAACATTCTTGACAGCATCCTCTCCCCACTTTCTTGATTTAAGTTTTACAGAGTCAATGTTCCTGTACTTTAACAATTGAAATTAATGGATCAGTCCACCAGAAGTCAGATATTTGAGTTTTGATTGATGATGGAAGGTTAAACCACCTGATCGTTTCTTATTGCTCTTGGAAATTCAATTGGTGAAATCCTGAACCTGCACACCTGCTGTGGCTAATATCCGGGTGCTCTGCTCCCTCTCTTTTGGATTTCCAATTTATTTTATTTGACAGGAAGTGCAGCAAGAGGTATAAGAACATTTAAAAGTCCCAGGGTAATGTCACAGTTGGAGTATTTAAGAGGTATAAGAATACAAGGGCTGCTTTTTTCCACCAGACTCTGCCACTAAAACTACTTTGGTATAAGTGAATAATGAAATGATGATCTATATAACAAGCATAATATGCCAATATGTGTTTATTCTCCTATAGACCTCTACAAAGGTATTTTGGAAACAACTGTTACGCCATCTGGAATTGATACAGCCAAGCTGTATCCAATTCTTCTGTCTTCTGGACTTCCCAGGGAAGCACTGGGTCAGATTTGGGCAAAGGCAAACCAAACTACTCCCGGAAAGCTTACAAAAGAAGAACTGTATATTGTGCTTGCCATGATTGGCATTGTTCAGGTATAACTGCTTCATTTTGTTTCAAACCTTTATTACTATTCAGTAGAATTAATAAGTTATTTTAGTTTTCTGTATAGTGTTATTTTCTGTGATACATTTTAAATACCCAGATACTAAGTCATTGTTAAAGCAGGCCTGTGCTGTGTGTTTGGTTTTTTTTCATCAGCCACACCAAAGAACTTAAAATTAAATGACTGTGTGTGTGTGCTTTTGGTTGCTCAAATTCTTCTGCCTTCTAGTGCCTGTCAGGTGACTAGTGTCTAACCACTGGTGAGTTGGTCTGTACTGAAGGGACTCTGGATAGTCTTTACTGGCCAGGCAAGGCAAAGTGGAATCAGATTGGTTTACATATTTTTGTGAAATACAGAGCTTATGGGTGGTTCTGACATGAATAAGGTGATCACTTTTAAAATATGCTCCATTTTAGATGTTTGTATTTCCATACATGGTACACTTATATTTTAATATTTGTTCAAAACCATGTTATTCATTTAAAATGGACATTTAAAAAGAAATAATGCTATGAAGACATTATTTAAGAGCAGTTCTACATGCATAATGGTGTATAATATAGAGTTCACATTAAGGCACAAGCCCAGCTAAATGCCTAAATACACAGATGAAACTTATATTTAATCTGCTTCATATCGCACTGCATATCCATGATGATATAGGCCCTCTATAGAGCAGCTCCCTTTTCTCTCCCGTTCATTGAAGGACACAGGCAACAGATCGTAGATCCTGAATGGTAGGGTAATATCGCCACCTGCAGGAGAAGGACGCTAGGCACAAAACTAAAGACCAATTACAGCCTAGGGGCGGCCCCTGCCGGTGGCCAAACCCCCCACCTGCTGACAAGTCACTGCCCTACTCACTGTATAAATATGAATAAACATCACAATTCTAAGGTTTGCACTTCCTGCTTTTTTAAGTACTTGTGTAGATGCTTGTACATTCTGCTTGTGTTTTGATAGTGGCCGAGATGCATCTGAATTCCTTCTTAAAGAAGAACAAATTACAAATTAACCCTTGCAGTGGGGATACCCGCGCACTACAGTGGTTAACTGCTGGTTTTGGTCTAGGGTCAAAAATAAGATATACTCACCCGATTTACAATACGGTATACTTCTGATTTTAGATTGAAAAGTGTGGTTCTCTATTGGTATCTCTGTGTAATGCACACATATTTTATCTGTTTTCATTGAAACAGAGAGGAGACTGTTCCTTGAATATGGATATGTTGAATCAGTTTTCCTCAGCACCTATACCAACTTTCAGTAGCTTTCCAGGAAGTTTTTCCTCAGCTGTGGATCCATTGCATGGGGTATCTCCAAGGCCTCCTGTCTCTAAGCCTCTGGATGTTAGCCAGCCAGTTGTTACAATGAAGAGTACGCCAGCTGCTACAGGAAATGTCACAATGCAGACGTTCATGCCATCAACCTTTACTCAGCCGGTAAGGACAGTTGTCTTATTTGAAAAGGCAGCTCCTGTTTGTGGAAATAAAAATGTATTCAAAACCATAAAGATTAAAAGTTAAACCTAGTAAAACCATTAACGGTTAGCTGTGTACAAAATGCTCCATTGTTTTAGCATATGTTTTCATAGTCTGTAATTCTAGCCAGACACATTACTGTCCAAATACTCTGATTTGTTAGTGCTCCAATTAATAGAGTGCAACACTTGGGTGCCTTACTGCGGACTTTCATTACTGGGTCATGCTGCCTAAAGGTGGCCATACACTGTACAACCATCGCAAGACCTTAGTCTTGCGATGGTTGTAAAGTGATTAAAAAAACGTACGATCTGCCCATCTTGGACAGGCAGATCGTACTCTCGATCATCGCAAGCCTGCCCCCCTGAGGGGCGGGCTTCCGATGACTGCAATGCTGAACGGGCAGTGTGCGCGTGCGCACACCGGCCCGTTCGGCATTTGTCTCCCCAGCACCGTTCAAACCAGCCGAAAATCGTACGATTCTCGGCTGGTTTTCTAACATGCTCCTTAGACAAAAGACGTGCGACCGTACAGTAGAAACGGTCGCACGTCTTCGTTCACACCGCTCGATTCTCGTACGAGAATCGAGCAGTGTATGAGCACCTTAACACAGATTTAATTTTTTGCCATAAGCTGTACCGTTAAATCATCTGAAACTTTGAAATTGTTCAGTAACTCTATTGGAGAGTTACTGGAGAGATCTCTGTGCTAGAGTTCCGGGGTCTGCACATCTGCTGTGGCCATTATGAGGGCTCCCATTCTAACCACTGGATTTTTAATACATTTTACAGTGGGTATAGAAAAAAATCACCCCCCCCCTTTTAAAATAGTCACATTTTGTTGCTTTGCAGCCTGAAATGAAGACACACAGTTTTTGTTTTATCCAGCTGTATTTACTCTGCATCTTTATAACATCCAAGTAAACGATAACACCCACATGTCAGAAAAAAAATAAAACAAATTTAAAAAACGGAATCACTGAGTTGGAAAAAGGATCACCCCCATTGTGTCAGTATTTTGTTGAACCACCTTATGCTTTAATTACAGCCTTTAGCCTGTTAGGATATGTCTCTACTAACTACGCACATCTAGACTTTCCAATATTTGCCCACTTTTCTTTGCAGAACTGCTCAAGTTCAGTTAAATTTGATGGTGACCGTTTGTGGACTACAGTCTTCAAGTCATTCCACAGATTTTCTATGGGGTTTAAGCCTCTGGGTTCTAACTAGGCCATGCAAGGACATTCACCTTTTTCACCTTCAACCACTGTGGGGTCATTTTAAACCTTCTTCCCATTGACAACTTTCTGGCAGAGGGCAGCAGATTTTCCTCAAGAAGCTTTGATAAAGCCTTTGAATTTTTTTTTGTACCCATCTCCTGACTTGTGCCTATCCACAACTTTATCCAGGAGATCTTTTGACAGTGTCTTGCCACCCATAGTTGATTGTTTGCTTCAGTTGCACTACCAGGTACTGAAATGCTCCAGGAAAGCTCTTCTCATGTTAAGCTAATCAAAATGACCACAATTGAAAGTCAAATGGCTTTGTGTGCCATTGAGAAGGTGATTAGCTACACCTGATTTTTTTACAAGCCATTTTTAGGAGGGGATGATCCTTTACTTATGTTATAAGTTGCACTAAGTAAAACAAAAACTGTGTCTGTCTTTTATTTCAGGCTGCAAAGCAACAGAATGTGATTATTTCAAAGGGGAGTGATTGTTTTCTATACCCACTGTATATGTGAAGAATCCAACAGGGGCAGCTGGAGCATGAACCGATAGATGGGGCACATAAAATTCCCAAGTGGACAAGAAAAGAATGGGAGTTATGGCTGGGAGATCTCTCCTTTAGTAGTATCAAGGACATAGAAACCAGCAGCGGACTTGGCCCAAAAGAATACACCCATAACTACAATATAACTTTTTTTATTTTTATTTTTTTACTGGATTGGCCCTTTAAATTGTCTGTCAGTATTACAATATAGTAAAAGGTGACAGAATTGTATCACAGGCGTTTATATAATTCCCTTGTCATATGGGTTTTTACTACTATTTGTGTGCTGTTTTTTCCAGAATCTGACAGTTTCTTTGTAGACCCTTCAATGTAGTACATGCTAGATATTCTCCATTCCCAACTTGGTAACGCTGGTCTACTTTATATGTGCTCTCTTCTAGCAGAGTCCTTTTTTGGTTGTGTGACAACAGTGAGTGCCTGCACATGCAGCACCAATACTTTTCCCAAACTGCAGCAGCTTGTATCATTCTGCATCAGTAATGACAAAGATGATTATATGGTTTGTGTTTGGCTCACAGCCATTATATAAGGGCTTATCCACTTTGTTATGCACAGTATAAAGTGCATTGCCATTTACTGTCACTTGCACCAGTGCACTATAGCAGTAAAGTAACACATTTAATAGAAAGTGATATTTTTGTTTTTTAAAAAAAGGTTGCAGTTATATAATACAGTTGCGCAATATAGGTTTGCCATACTAGGGGTCTCGGCGATGTCGGAAAGGAAAAGTGAAGAGAGTCATATAGACAGGATTTCACAGATCAGTGTTCTAGTAATTTGCTGAATAAGTTTAAAAGGATTTTGTAGGTCCAGTAAAAAAACTAAAGTGGACTGTGCCCTAATCAGGGTAGTGTCTTCCTTAACTCATCTCATCCTTATGCCTTGTGTAGCTTTTCAAGCCAGAAGATGATGATTTCCAAGACTTTCAAGAGGCATCCAAATCTGGACCCAGTGATGACTCTTTCTCCGATTTCCAAAGCGATACGTCTAAAATGTCATCTTCACTGTTGAAGAGCAGGTAGCAAAACATTACTGTTGCACACTGTCTATACCGTCTCTATATTAGAATAGTAAAAATGTTTTCCTGCTTGTGTTATTGTATTTATTTCAGGTTTCTATACTCTGGGGTATCGTGTATGAGCAAATCCTTTTCCATGCTGGTAATGTGGGCATAACCAGCATGTATGTAGGGTGTTGTAACCCCCAGTACCCAATCACATTTCAGTACACTGTAACCAGATAATTTGAAGAGTGCCTGTACTAACAGAAATATGTAGGCTGCCATTACTGATACCCAGAAAGTTGCTAGTTGCCTAGCTATCACTAGATTCAGTGCTTCTTAATTTTCTGACCTGGAATAAGGATGCAATAAGTTATGTCTGAAGTCAGAACTGTGTAGTTTTTTTAGTGTCAGTGATTGAAAATGTACTTGAACATTAAAGTTATCAAACCATTTAAACCCATATAGTCATTCTTAAAGTGATATTAAAGCCTAATTTTTTTAATTTATTTTATCTTTAAGTGGACCCTCCTTTCCTGGAGGCTGTTGCTGCTTTTCTTTAAAACTGTTTAATTCCTCATTTTCTAGTGGGTTCCCGCAGCACTATTCCCCCTGCACGGGTGCCACCATAATTCTAATGGAGACACCTGTGCACACTCGTGCCCGCAGTGGCTGTGTGCGTCCATATACACACACAGCCCTGTGGCAGGCCACGCCCCTTCCCTCTTTGATGGTAGAAGGAGCCTATGGCTTCTCTGCCATCAGTATCCTCCCCCCGCAACCTAATGCAGAGAATACATTATGGTTAAAAAAAACGCCCAGACCTTAATACTACCTTAAGTATAACTTTCTATTATAAACCTTCATAGTTTTCACTAGTACATCCTGTGTGCCATGCACACTTCTGTGGAACCTAGCTACCACTTTTTTGCATACTATCACTAATACAGGAATGTTGCAGCTTTCATCTTGGTATTGTAGATCTTCCCCAATTTTCATGTGGGCATTGCTTGATAACTCTTCTGTATCCCACATGACCATCTTATGATGGTGGAACATGGCTGTGAATGTTACTTTGCATTTTTGTGCCTTATTCTGGCATTTCGCTGATTGTCGCAATGTGATCTGCAGGATGCTGGAGGAATATAGGGACTCCTATAATGTCAACAATAGCAAATTACAGGTTTCCCTTTTTAATATATTTTCTTTTTTTTTGGCAGAGTCTTACCATTTCCTCCACTTTGTACAGCCTCACTTTTTTTTTGTCACTGTGTGGTCAAAAGTTAACACAGGAGTCCGTATTTTAAAATTCCATTGCGTTGCTGATCACAAAAAGCTGCAGGTATCCGAGACTCCTGTGTGTGTCATATACTTGTTCCTCCCACTGGCTCGTTCATCGTGTAGTGATGTAGGATTTGGTGCAGTACCCAATGGGAGAACAAGCATTTGACACAACCAAACAAATTGGATACCTGCAGTAACCAGAAATCGGCAATAAGATGAAGTTGTTACACACTAGCCACTGGAAAGTTAAGTATTTACCACCATTGATGGTAGAAGGAGCCTATGGCTTCTCTGCCATCAGTATCCTCCCCCCGCAACCTAATGCAGAGAATACATTATGGTTAAAAAAAACGCCCAGACCTTAATACTACCTTAAGTATAACTTTCTATTATAAACCTTCATAGTTTTCACTAGTACATCCTGTGTGCCATGCACACTTCTGTGGAACCTAGCTACCACTTTTTTGCATACTATCACTAATACAGGAATGTTGCAGCTTTCATCTTGGTATTGTAGATCTTCCCCAATTTTCATGTGGGCATTGCTTGATAACTCTTCTGTATCCCACATGACCATCTTATGATGGTGGAACATGGCTGTGAATGTTACTTTGCATTTTTGTGCCTTATTCTGGCATTTCGCTGATTGTCGCAATGTGATCTGCAGGATGCTGGAGGAATATAGGGACTCCTATAATGTCAACAATAGCAAATTACAGGTTTCCCTTTTTAATATATTTTCTTTTTTTTTGGCAGAGTCTTACCATTTCCTCCACTTTGTACAGCCTCACTTTTTTTTTGTCACTGTGTGGTCAAAAGTTAACACAGGAGTCCGTATTTTAAAATTCCATTGCGTTGCTGATCACAAAAAGCTGCAGGTATCCGAGACTCCTGTGTGTGTCATATACTTGTTCCTCCCACTGGCTCGTTCATCGTGTAGTGATGTAGGATTTGGTGCAGTACCCAATGGGAGAACAAGCATTTGACACAACCAAACAAATTGGATACCTGCAGTAACCAGAAATCGGCAATAAGATGAAGTTGTTACACACTAGCCACTGGAAAGTTAAGTATTTACCACCTTCTTTTACAGGCCGTGTTTACATTAGTTTTGACCCCTTAATGACCTGATCCCTTCAAATATGACCAGCACTGTTTAATAATGAAGACCTCAATAGTGTATGCATGTTTTAGGTTTAATATATTTTTGCTGCCATTTCTTTTAAAGTTTGAAATCCGTATTCTTTTCGCAGGAAATATTTTGAAGTAGTTTGCAAATTGTAACTTTTTTTTTTTGGTTTACTTAGTGCTCCACCTTTGCTTATGCCAATGTCTGGAACACAAGCAGTTGCACTTCCTGTGGTTGATAAATATGCAGTATTTAAAACATTCGGTGTGGACCGCAAACTGGAAAGCACAAGTCAATTTATAGGTAAGGCTTGTGTTAAGATCAACTTGGCTTTATGCCCTGCTGACAGGCTCTGTCTTGCTTCCCAATCTTGCTCTGTTACGAAACTTTGGGGAGCTCTCAGGTCTCTGGCTCAACCCTGCTCAATCTTAAAAAACTTAACGTCACTCTGGGGGTTCCTGAAGTCCGTGCACTTCAAAATGTGTTTCTGTTCCATTGGGAGACCTCACACCTTTCTTCTAACAAGAATCCGAATAACAATATCCTACAGGATACTCTATGAATTGCCTTCTGCTGTTCACTAAGCTTGCAAACCTCCTAAAGGTCTGAAACAATCACTCACTCTCCTGGTTGGGATGGATAGCTGCAATGAAAATGACATGCCAAAACCACCTGTTTAGGGCCTCACCGGTTCTAATCCTGTTTGCATATATTTTGCATCTGCAATATTTTCAGTTTCTTTGGCACCACAGGAGGCTGGTCTACCTACACTCGTGCTTTATCATAGTAGATTAAATGGTAGCTTAGGAGTCCCTCCTATACAACATTTTTAGCCACTTTAGCCGAGTACCACGTCTCTAACAAGGTCCCATTTTGGGTCTCCCTTAAGGCTACTGTGACCCGTTAACTATTTACAGTTTCTTATGGCCTTGGTCGAAAGACAGTTTCTTTGGCAGAACCTCATTACTTATACGGTATTCCCCCTGTATATTTAGGTGGCCTTCTATCGTCTCACTTTCCTTTTTTTGTTCTTCCTTAAGCACCCCTCTTTCCCCTCCCTGGGTTGGAAACCCATGGTGTGTTCCGACACTTTAACAGCTAAGAAACCTGCACACTTTATTGCTTACTGGACAAGGCTGACATGAGACCTTTCCCAGCCCTCCATTTCAAGTATAATCAGTTATCTGCAAGTAAAACATTTTATTAACTCTTAACTCCATTAATGTCTTGTAGGGAACGCTGCAGTTGATGGCTTTTGAGTGAGTCTGATTTTCCTTGCTGTACAGTCCTCTCCTCATTGGGACATGTACACCTAATCATGCTTGCATGCATCAGTGCTTACATGCATATATGGCAGGTGGATCTTAAATCTAGCATTGAACCTGACACATGGTCCCAAATTTGGGACAGTACTAAATGCAGTTCACAGAATGCTCAAGCTTTAAAAGCCAATTACAAATTATTATACAGATGGTACATGGTATCCAGCCAATTTTGTCCTGGACACAACGGGAGGTGCTTCCGTGGGTGTCCTGATAAAGAATCCTTTTTGCATGCGTGATGGACCATGCCCATTGGACATGTGTACGCGAGTCTATAGGATACTTTTGATTTTTATGGGCACTTTGTGTCCTTGCGGTGGCTACACGCACCATTGCCAAGGTATGGCGTACCAATACGCTTTCAATCACTGATGTGAAATCTAGACTCCTTTTTGGATGTTTTCTAATCTCCTGTTAACTGGTAGTTATGGGTACTTCACGTTCTCCCTGGTACTTTGCCCCCACTACAGACTTTACGACGTATGAGAACCATAATATCTCCAGGAAATGTCAGATGAATGAATGGTTCTCCAGTTGTAGATGGAAGTCAGAAAGCAAAGCTTGTAGGGGTCATAATTGGTATAAAAAATAAATCTTAATTTCCATGGAAAACCCCAACTCTGCTTGTATGATGAGCGTTACAATACTTTGACATCAGCAGAAACAATTCCCAGAGTTGGCTATGTACAGACATTTTAAAAGGTATTACCCTGATGTGTCACTAGCCTTACCTGAGAGGTGCACATTTTTAAAGTTTTGTGTGTGTGTGTGTATACACACAATCTAACATGATGTACTGCAAGACTGCAGCTTTTTATGCCAGAACAATCATCATATCCACTGCGGTCTTTATTTTCATTTTATGTCCAATTCCTAACATATAATTGTTAATCCTTTCTCTATTAATAACACGGTTACATGTTCAGCTTAGCTTTGAATAATGTGTACTTTTGAGTATATTGAGTATATTATTTGAGAATAATGAGTGACTTTTGCTTAATAAAAGTGATTTTTTAAAAAGACTCCCATATGACCGTCTAAACAAGTACCAAATCCAGTTACTATGTGATGCAGAAGCCTTATCAATGAAACAAAAAGCTTCCTTTACCTTCTCTGACTGAGCCAAAGTACCTTAATTTGTGTCTCACGTGCTTCCCCTTCCCAAACACTTCAGCTCTCGGTGTGTAGGTAGTAATAATAATAACCATAACATTTTTCTATTTTGTAAACTTTTTGTTTTAATTGCACAGGAGATGGTTTTGCAGACTTCAAATCCTCTTCAGCAGATGATGGATTCACAGACTTTAAAACAGCAGACAGCATATCTCCTTTAGACACTCCATTACGAGAAACCCAGACGTCTCTTGGATTTAACATTGGCCCGACCCAGACCCAGACCCAGAAATCACCTACTCCGCTAAAATCTTCATCTGACCTTTCATTTTCTGCTGTGACAAGCAATGCCTTTCCAAAAACATTCCATGCACCCAAGCCTGTGTCATTTCCCGTGGCTGCAAATCCATTAGCATCATCATCATCATCATTATCATTGCCTTTATCTTCATCATCATCATCCTCATATGTTCCTGTTTCAGCTGTGCCTGCTAAAAGTTCCTCCCTGTTTGATGATTTTGGGGACTTCACACTTTTTGGAGGGCCAGTCAATGCTACATCTGCTGGTAACCATAGTGATTTTACTGACTTCTTGACAAGTAATAGCAGTGCTACTGAACAAAAAACTGGAGACAAATATGAAGCCTTCAAGCAGGATTCGAGTACAATTGATCCAGTACGCTCTACTGGTTCAAACCAGAACCTTCAAACCACTTCTTTAGCATCCAGTAACAAATATGATTTGTTTGAACACCTTTCTCTGGACAGCTCTTGCACGGGGTATGATGAATCTAAAGATGCTGCGGGTCTCCCAAAAGACAGTGACTTCACATTCCAGTATGACAAATTCACCACCGCTGAGAGCAATTCCGAAAAATCTTTTGTGGACAAGTTTGCTGCTCTCAAGCAAACCAAAGAGGACTCCGTCTCTATTAAGTCCTTAGATCTTCCTTCGATTGGTGGCAGCAGCTTTGGGAAGGATGACTCTGAAGATGCACTTTCTATCCAGTTTGACATGAAGTTGTCAGATTTGGGCGGGGAATTGAAGCATGGTATGTCTGATAGTTCTCTGGATTTGCCAACGGTTAGTGGTCAGCATCCGCCTGCTGCAGGTGAGGAGTTGGTTAGATTGCTTTGGTAAAGATGACATGGCTTTAGACTAGATACCATATATTTGTGAGCTTTATTCTGTGGAAGTTTCTCTTTTTTCTTCAATATACCATACAGTGGAACATATCCTCTGTGCACAGTATTACAGTAACTCCTTAGACATATTTATTTAGCATGTAATATGTAATCATATTCAGTGCAGTTGGCAGAACAGGGTAGTTCATTTATAGCTGAGAGAAGATGACTGTGACAGTGTATTTTGTTTACTTTTTTTTTTTTTTGTGATGTGGAATACCTGAGTATTTATTATAAGAAGATGCCAATTTTGTGTTATTGATTTCTGTTGAGTTCAGCGGGGTGTGCAATACTTGCCTAGCTGAGGTAACTGAACCTGACCTATCCCAAAATATCGTGGTGCATGCTGGCACCTGTTTTGGACTTGAAATTGATTCTTGGAGCCCCTTGTAATCTATGTTCAGATTGTGCATGGGGCTTTTAATTCTTACCAATCAAACTTAAAGTGGAACTAAAGCCTCCTATCCTCTTTAGATCTGCAGTTTCCATGGTGCTGAACATGTGATCAGCTATGACACCAGCCATTTGAGGACTTGGCAAGAATGCCTTGAGTATAACTGTTTTGGGAAACAATTATATTGATGGGTTTAGTTCCACTTTAGGCTTGGCTCCATCTGGGCATCAATTTCCACCTCCTATCATTTACCTGTCGGATACCAAAACCTTAGTGGACCCTAAAGGCTATGGAGTTTGACAGTTGTAAGACACTGGGCAGGCTTTTGCACGGGAGGTGGGGCTTAAGCTAAAATTTTACATATGACATTCATTGGGTATAGGACCCATTGGACTTCACAGAATAGTCGGGATCTGTTTGAACACTAATATAAGTACTTGCAGGCAGTTCAGCACTGTTTTTATAGAAAGGGTCAGGTTCACTTTAAATTACTTCAATAGATATCTTCAAAGCAGTGCCATTTAGTGGCACTTTGCAAATATTCCTTGCATCATCAGGGAGGTCTTTTCCGTTATGAGATCAAAACTAAGAATCTGCTAAGAGTTAGAATTCAAAAACAACTTTATACATTTATGTCGTAAATAGGATCAAAATTGCCTATATGTAAAAAAAAGATTCAAGCATAAAAGGTGGCTAGAATTTTTCTGCAGTTCCCTAACTGCAGGCACCCACTCCTATCTACCTGATGATGTTCACTAAAGTATATCTTTATCTGTAAGGGTCACAGATCAGATTATAATTTAAGATATTAATGTGTACATTCCTTTTAGGGTATCTTACATGGACAGACTTTAGTCTGTATTTACATTTTTTTTGTTGTGTGTGTGTCCATTTAGGGACATAGGAAGTCTTTCACCTTTTGGGTTATATTGCTGCCTACAGGCAAACTGCACACTGGCAAGCCAAAAAAAAAAACCTGTAGGCTAGCCCAAGATCACCCTTCCTACTAGCAACCTGAATTTTTGGTAGTGCCCTAGGAGGACTAAAATTTGTGTAAAGGATTAACCTATTTTAACCAGCACCATTTACAGTATTACAGCATTTTTTGTAATTTTTTTTTTTTTCACCAATTAAACTCCTTTACCTAAAGGCTAGAGCTGGTCTCTTCAATTGCAGCTATCTGGACTGGACATTGAAGGGTTAGCCTTGAAGTGACCTTGGACTTCTTTTTTGTTAACAAGTTGGCCACGGAAAGCTTTCCAGGTAAAGAGCCACCAGCATTGCCTCAGCGCTTGCCCTATCTCTTAATACCTGCTCAGTGATTAGTCCAGTTGGGCCGAGCACTCAGAGCTGCTACTTTTAAATTGGTTGCTAGGTACCTTTTTTAAATTTCACGTTTCTTGCCAGTTGCCACCATGGAAAGGGTTAGTGCTGAGGTCATCTACTAGGTGGAGTGTTGCCTGCGCCCTGCACTCGTTCCTTCCGTACATTGTTGAAAGTGCGTCTCCCAACTGCTGCTCGTGCTTGCAAAGAGCCATGTTGGCACTCTGATCTTTGGTCCATTCATGCTGCCTGGCTACAGTGACTTTGGTCAACTCTGGTCATCCGACCCTCATATGCTATCCGCTGTTTTTGGGTTTTGTGAAACCAGAGGCTGTGGCTTCAACCCTAACCCTATACATTGCCTTATCTCTACATGGTCACAACATACACACGGTCTACACAACGGCAAAAGGTTTCCCCAACTCAGTCTACCAGTGGTTTGGCCGCAGAAACTCAGATTCTGTCTGATTCTAAGTTGTTTCAGTCTTTGCCAAGTATCTTCTAATAATGTTCCTTCAGCTCTTAGTGCAATGTGTCCCACTCTGAAGCCAGAGGAATCTGCCTGTTGCATCTACCAGTGCTGGTTACTGTCTTGGGTCCGTGAAAGCCCCAAAGGCTGCATAGACCTTTTTGTTGCAGAGGCGTTGGGTGAATGGTCAAGGGGAGAGGAGTGACAGATGAACAGGATCTCCCCTTGTCCATTCAGACCGCCTTGCATTCTTTGCATCCCTCTTCAGCTCCAGCCTTCCTGTATCTCTGCACAGATTAGCAGATCTGCATTGAGCCCGCTAAGGTCGTCTTGACCAAGCTGTCATTGCCCCATTCCCTGTAGCAACACGATTTCAAGGATTCTTCTCAAACCCGTTTACCATTTTCAAACCCAAAGGGGGCACCCGGCCCGTTTGTCAGAAAACGTGGTTTTAACTGTCCAGACATCACAGTAGTTCTGATAGATCCTGAAAATGTAGAAATCAATCCTGAAACTAACTCATCGTTTGGTGTATCTAGGTCTAATCCTGGACACCGTTCATGCCAGGTTTTTTTCCCCCATTTGAAGAAACTTAAGATGCTCTGATCTTAGATTCAGGCTCTCCATTCCAGGAGTCGTCCTACTCCCTGCACTTACTTTAGAGTCTTGGGCCTGATGGTAGTGTCCTTCATGGCTGTCCTATTTGCTCTTTTTCACTGCAGACCACTACAGTGCAACATCCTGTCATTGTGCAACAATTCAGTAAGGTTCCTGCACACATTGTTTCATTTGGCACTGAGGACTAGGTTGATCTTGTCTCTGTGGCCCCATTCTGGAATCTGGGAAGATCTTTGCTCGTCTTTTGGAACATTCTCATGATGGATGCCAGCCTATCTGACTGAAAGGGGTCTTGGGCTCCTTTTTTGATGCAAGGGATTTGTTCATAAGAGTCTCAAACATCCTTGAGCTTTGAGCGATTTGGCTGTCTCTTTTGCATTGGACCATTCTGCTTGAGGGTCATCCAATCCAATAGGACAATGACTGCGCTGGCATTCTTCAACCATTAGGGAAAAACCAGAAGCCTCGCTGTGGCAAGAGGGATAGTTAGCATCCTGTCCTGGGCAGAACTTGACGTTCCAGGTTTGACCAAAAAGTGCATCCTAGGTGTAGACAATTGGCAGTCAGACTTCCTCACCTGGCAACGTCTGGACCAGGGAAAGTAGTCTGTACATCTGAAGGTGTTATATGACCTGTTCAAGCAGGTGGGAGATGCTGGATATGGACCTCACATTCTCCAGTTTTAACAACAAACTGGACAGGTTTTTTTCCAGGTACAGGGATCCTTTAGCGGAAGCATTGGATGCCCTGTTGTGTCTGCGGGACAAGCACACCTTAATCTATCCCCTTCCTGCTTCATGGGATCGAAATGTAGGGTATTCCACTGATCCTCAATGCTCTGGACCTTCCCAGGAGGATGTGGTAAGCCAATCGGGTAAGACTCCTGGTGTACCCTCTGTGGACTTTTTTTTCCCCCCTCAATTACTAATTTACCATCTTGCTTCAGTCACTGGCTTTAGCAGCATGGCTGTTAAACCCCAGGTTTCTGCCCTTTTCTATCTTGTTTCATCACTTATTAATACCTTTTTGTACACAGAGTTTCCTATGTAGCTCACCCTGTTTGTAGCTTCCCTGTTTGTTCCTCTGTGACTCCATGGGATCTGAATCTTCTCTGTGTACTTCAGAAACTCCCCATTGGAGACATTCCTTTACTTTACCCAACAAGGTGGTATTGCTTGTAGCAATCACCTCTGCTAGGCGACTGTGTTAGCTGGTGGCCTTATCCTGCAATTAATATTTTCTGGTTTTGCCTGGTGTTGAACCCCCAAGGTAGTTTCTGCCTTTCACCTCAACCAGGACATCCGTCTTCTGTCCCTCTATCTGGCTCCAGTTCACCAAAAGGAAATTTTCATCTATCATCTGGATGTGGTTTGGGCTGTGAGACTCAGCCACTGCTTGTTTTAGACAGACTGATTTCCTTGTTGCCATCCCAGATGGTGCCCATTAGGGTGTATCTGCGTCTCCATTAAAAATCTCTAGGTGGCTCAGATGGACCATCATTCAAGCGTATTGTCTCAAGGATCTGATTCCACTCTTTCCTGTCAAGGCACACTCTACTAGATCTTTCTTGCACTGATCATGATCATGGTCTCTGTAATGTACTACAAAACTGAGGCCTGTTGGTAGTAGGAAGTATCTTCTCGGGCTTCCCTACAGTTTTTTTTTTGTTATTGTCAATGTCGTCCTGAAGGTGGCAATGTAACCTGAAGGTGAAAAATGTCCTGTATCTCCAAGAAATTATTTTACGGTGAGTAAAAAAATCCAGTTTTAGTGTTTAGGAGTTTTGTTATTTTGCAAAGTGCCAAAATGTACTGTTCAAAAATTACCTTTCAGGGGTCCTGTAACCAACTGCACTTCTGAGTATGACAGCTTCAGCAGTATTCTAGATATAATGTTTACATTAACTTATATTTAAACCTTCTATATCTTTTTATCTATGTATGTGTGTTGATTTTAATTTTTTTGATGTTAGCCAATTTCACAGTGTTATACATTTTTTTTCCCCCTTAAGTTATGTTGTGGCATACAAAGCAGCACGTGGGTAAAACTAGTTGACATTAACTTGGCCACTTAGCATTGGTGCCCTCTGTTTTTGCTCTAGGTTACTTCAGTTATTTTTTAGA